TTGGCACCAGGACAAATTCTGGGTTATTCCCAGCCCCACTCCCCAGTGTTTATCATGTTTTCTTGAGCCAGTTTGGGGCCAGGGTCAGATACCCTCACTTACCCTGTCTGATTATAACTGACCATGTCCTGCTGTGTTCTGAGGTGCTATCCAAGCAACACTAGACCTCTTGGAATTTTAAAAAATTGATTCCAGAGCTAGAGAGACACTGACACTGATTTGCTGTTCCGCTTATTCATGCATTCATTAGTTGCTTCTCGTACGTGCCCTGACTGGACATCAAACCTGCAACCTTGTTGTGTTGGGACGACATTCCAACCAAATGAGCTACCCAGCTGGGTGGATCTCTTGGAATTTTGATGAAGAACTTAAAATATTTATAGTAATACCCAAGCACTGGTTTTCCAATCCCATAACTTCTGCTAAAAGTCAAATCAAGAGATATTGTACGTTAAGCTATGTAGCTCAATGCTTGACTCATAAAAACAATACCTCACATGTACTCGAGGCTTTCTGTGTACCAGGCACTATGCTAACCATATATGTTTTATCTCCTCTAAACTTCACAATGACCCTTTTTTGGTCCCGACTGTACGAACAAGGAACGTAAAGCTTAGTAACATTAAGCAGGTTGTCTTAGAGGTGAGAAGTGAGGTTTGAAGCCTGGCCATGTGACCCTGAAGGCCATCCTCCTCACCAGCAGACCAAATGGCCTCAAAACAAGCCAGCTGACCAAATGAACATTGGACAAGATTTTTGTAAGAATTTGAATCAAGTCTTGTCAATCAACAAAGATGAGTAGTAGACTTTTAGAAACTGTAAAGTTTTGAAACATAAGATGCCATTAAAAATGGACATAATTTGCCCTGGCTAGTGTGGCTCAGCAGGTTGAGCACTGGCCTGCAAACCAAAAGGTCGCCAGTTTGATTCTCACTCAGGGCATGTACCTGGGTCATGGGCCAGATCAGGGCTTGCGATAAGCAACAGATCAATGTTTCTGTCACTCATAGATGTTTTTCTCCCTCTCTTTCTCCCTCCCTTTCTTTCTCTCTAAAAAATAAATTTAATTAAAAAATTTTAATGGACTTTTTTTTCTATTTTAAAAAATATTTTATTTATTTTTAGAGACAGAGGAAGGGAGGGAGGCAGAGAGAGAGAAAAACATCAATGTGTAGTCACCTCTTGCATGTCCCCTACTAGGGACCTGGCCTGCAACTCAGGCATGTGCCCTGACTGGAAATCAAACTGGTGACCCTTTGGTTCACAGGCTGACACTCAATCCAGGGCTGTTTTGTGTGAACACTTTGGTTTGCAGGGCTGTTTTTTTCTTTTTCAATACATTTCATTGAGGTATAATTTACATATATTTTAATGCATGCATTCTAAGAGCACAATTCAAAGCTTTTTGACAAATATATATATCTGTGAAATCACTACCACAATCAAGACATCCAATTTTTTTTATACTCTAGAAAGTTCACTTGTGCACTTTTGTAGTCAATTCTCTACACCTTGACCCCCACCCCGGCCCCAGGATGCCACTGATCTGCTTTCTGTCCTGGAACTTCTCATAAATAACACACTATGGACTTTTTTGCACCTAATATCTTCCTGCTCAGCATAATTTTTGACAGTCATCACCTGGTTGCATGTATCAGAAGTTCATTCTTTTTTAAAAAATTACTTTATTGTTGTTCAGTTACAGTTGTCTGCATTTTCTCCCTACCACTCCCTGCCACCCCAGCCAAACCCACCTCCCTCCCTTGCTTCCACCTTCCCCCTTGGTTTTGTCCATGTGTCCTTTATAGTAGTTCCTGAAAACCCTTCTCCCCACTGTCTCCTCCCCCCTCCCCTCTGGCTATTGTTAGATTGTTCTTAATTTTAATGTCTCTGGTTATTTCTTTTTTCTTTTTGTTGATTATGTTCCAGTTAAAGGTCAGATCATATGGTATTTGTCCCTCACCACCTGGCTTATTTCACTTAGCATAATTCTCTGTAGTTCCATCCATGCTATCGCAAAGGGTAAGAGCTCCTTTCTCTCTGCTGCATAGAATTCCATTGTGTAAATGTACCATAGTTTTTTGATCCATTCATTTACTGATGGGCACCTAGGTTGCTTCCAGCGCTTGGCTATTGTAAATTGTGCTGCTATGAACTTTGGGGTGCATAGGTTCTTTTGGATTGGTGTTTCAGGGCTCTTAGGGTATAATCCTGAGTCAAAAGGCAGTTCCATTTTTAGTTTTCTGACAAGTTCATTCTTCTTTACTGCTGAGTAGTATTCCAGGGTACATGTATGCCAATTTATTTATCCATTTACCTGGGGATGGACACCTAGGTTATATATCAGTCAGGAGACAGAAACCATTCACTTGAACAGGAAAATTTAATATACTTAGTAGCAAGTAAAAGGTGGTTAATGACATAAAAGAGTAAGTGAGGGTTTGGAAGTAGCAAGTGGGCTGAGGGAGAATGAGCTTTGAAGGATTCAAACACTTGGGAGAGTGTCCCCCGCCCCTCACAGACTTTGGCTCAGACTTCTTTGAAGGTGGCGACCACTGGAATGCATGATGTCCTTGTCTGTGATGAAGGAACTCACCAAAGGACACAAGCTAGAGCTGGCCCATAGGTGGCCTGCAGCCTCCAGACAGTTCAGGCAATTTGGAGCTGGCCTCCACTGGCAGCCTGAGGGTGGGAAGAACAAGGCCTGAGACTGGTTGGAACTGGCCAGAGAGGGCTGCAGAGGTGAGTGCTACCAGGTGTTAGTACCTGTGCTGGATAAAAACACGGGAGAAGGACCAGAACCCAGAAGGGCAATGCCTTCCTGCTGATACCACCTTGTAGTGTCCCACCAGTGCCCTCACTTTGACAAAGCCTGACATTGTGCCAGTAGGCAGGAGAGAAATGCTCGCAGGCTCCAGCTCCACTATCACAAAGCAGGGCAGGGAAGGTGGGTTCAAGTCTGAGAGACAATAAATCAATACCTGGCATAGGTTATTTCTACTTTGGGGTTGCTATGAACAAAGTGGCTATGAACATTTGTGGGAACAAATCTTTTGTGGTCATATGTCTCAATTTTTTTCATCCCCTGCCCCCATGAGCCTCATATGTTTCAATTTCTCTTGGGAGACATATACAAGTGGAATTTGCCTGGACATATGGTGGGCATATGCTTAACTTTACAAGAAGCTACCAAATTGTTTTTCAAATTGTGTCATTTTGCATTCCCACCAGCAATATATACATCTTCCCCAACACTTGGTATTGTCAGACTTTTAATTTTTAGCCAATGTAGAGCCTAGGAAGTGCTATCTGCTAGTGATTTAGTCATCCCTGATCTTTTCCATCTATTTCTTGAAACAGTGATGTTAGGTATCTTTTCCTATACTGCTTGGCCATTCATATATTTTCATGTGTGAAGTGTTTGTTCAGATATTTTGTCTATTTAAAAATGGGGTTGTCTAACTGAGTTGTAAGAGTTCTTTAGCCCTGACCAGGTGGCTCAGTTGAATGGAGTGTCATTCTCATACAGCAAAAGGGTTGTGGGTTTGATTCCTGGTCAAGCACATACCTGGTTGCAGGTTCAATCCCTTGTTGGGGTGTGTATGGGAGGCAACCCATTCATGTTTCTCTCTACTCTTCCTTCCTCTCTCTCGAAAATCAATAAAAACATGTCCTTGGGCCCTGACTGGTGTGGCTCAGTGGATTGGGTGTCATCCTGTCAACCAAAAGGTCACCAGTTTGATTCCCAGTCAGGGCACATGCCTGGGTTGCAGGCCAGGTCCATGATTTGGGGAGAAGCAACTGACCAATGTTTCTCTCCCTCTCCCTCCCTTTCCCTTTCTCTAAAAATAAAAATAAATAAAATTGTTTTAAAAAATACCCTCAGTCAAGAATTTTAAATATTCTATATAAAAGTCTTTTGTCAGATACATGTATTGCAAACAATGTAACATTAAGATTTTTGAACACAAAGTACAATCTACCAATAGGAGAAAAAAACTCCATTATATTTTTAATATAGGTTTGCTATTGTCTCAATAAGTAGAAAGATAAGTAAAGTTAGTTTTTACAGGTTTATGTATTTATTTATAACTATAGAGAGATCTTGAAAACATACACAGGATTACAACTTCTCTTTTAAGTTTTGAATGTGGTAGCAGGTAAGTGTTCAGAGTGGTCTTTATACCTTTAAGTCAGGGGAGTCCGCAGGTTTTCCCAATCTTCCTACTGCTATGCCCCGGGCCAAACTGCATTTACCAATCACACTTTGGTTGCAAGTGCCAGAACCCCAGTTTAAATTAGTTTAGGAACAAAAGTAAAATTCATGATAACAATGGAGAATGGTTGCTCCAATTGTCCTGTCTGTTCTGCGGCGTGTCAGCCTTATTCTCCTCTCTTTCCTCATATGGTAGAAAGGTGGACACTGATATTTCCTGGGCTTTTCAGCTAACAGAGCTGTCCACCTGCAGAGAGACCACCTGAACTCTTCGAGACCTAAGTCCAAGATCAATGGGAAATTGTTCACTGGCCCATCCTGGGCCATTAGCCTTCTTTTAGACCAGTCAACTGTGGTGTGTATGTATATGTGTGTGTGTGTGTGTGTGTGTGTGTGTGTGAAGTTGCAGCATATCATTGTAGCTCCTGAGAGAACAATTTGGGTGGGATGAAAGGAAGTGGGTTTTGGAAAGATGGAGGCAGTACTGAGAAAACCATGACATGCATGAATCTACTATAGATTATTGGAAAAAAGAGTGTGAAAGAATAGGGCTAGATGATGAATAGGAACTAATGTTGGACAGTTTATGTGCAGTAAAGAGAAAAGAGAGTCTGGAGATTTCATTGAGACAGTAAAAAAAATTCATGTGAAACTTTAGATAAGACAGAGGCATATTAAAATGTTGACAAATGTGAAGGGTAGTGCACACTTGGTTACGGAGGAGGAGGCCATTCCCACCTGGTCCCTGTGGAGGCTAGGTCGGACTCTAGTGAACAGGATTGTCAATTCATTAATGAAGTATGGCTTGTGTTGAACAAGATAAGCTGGGTCAAGCGTTTGAAGATGCTTTTGAGGTACTGAGGCAACATTCAGCTGGAGATCTGCAATACCCCACAGATTACAAAAATTACTTGAGTCTCATCAACCACTGTCCCCACGCCCATGCCAGAGGAAATTCCAGCTACTACAGTATGCTGCCTACAGAGGAACCTGTCTACAGCTGGAGAACAGTAATAAACAGTGCTTCGGACCTCTATTTTGAAGGAAATACCCATCAGTCTCTGCAGAACATCCCTGAAAACCAGCTGGTACAACCTCCTGTTCTCCAGCAAAAAGGAGTGAAAGGCAGGAAGAAGCTCCGACTGTTCGAATACCTTTACGAATCCCTGTGTAATCCCAAGATGGCATGTTGTATTCAGTGGGTAGATAAAAGTAAAGGCATCTTTCAGTTTATATCAAAAAACAAAGAAAAAACTCGCCCAACTTTGGGGGAAAAGAAAAGGCAACCGGAAGACCATGACGTACTCAGAAAATGGCCAGAGCACTGAGGAATTATGGAAGAACTGGGGAAATCACCAAAATCCGAAGAAAACTAACTTACCAGTTCAATGAGGCCATTCTCCAAAGACTCTCTCCACCTCATCTGTTGGAAAAAGAGATCTTTTACTCACAGTATGTTCAACCTGACCAAGAATATCTAAGTTTAAGTAACTGGAATGCAAATTATAATTATGCATATGCCAGTTATCATGAGCTAAGTTACCCTAATTGTGAAATGTAGTCTTACATATTATGACTTCCTGACATCAGAAATGCCTGAACAGGCAATACAGATGATGCATGATAGAATTGTACACTTGAAACCTAAATAATTTTATTATTCAATGTCATCTGAATAAAGTCAATAAAAGTAAAATTAAATTAAAAAGAAAAAAAAATGTTGACAAATGTTATGCCTTACTTATTTTCCAATACTTTAGTAAAAAACAAATAGGTGAAATGAAAATGGCAAGAGGTTGATATTAAAATTAGGTGATGTGTATATAGGCATTTATTATTTTAGTCTTTCTGTATATTTAAATTTTTTTCATTATAAAAAGAAAAAATAATCAAATTCTAAAGTGGATCTATGAAAAGAAGTTATAAGTAGCATATGGGGGAAAGGTTACTAAACTCAAGTAAAGAGATTTCGTAGGTTTATAGACATTAGAATTGAAAGGGACTTTAAGATATCCTATAATCTAGTCTTTTATGCTTTGCTTCTAGTTCACTAACAATGTATGTGTCTCAAAAATTCTGTAAGACTTAGATATTTATTTGATCTCAAATATTCTATGTTAAGCTCAAAGCTAGCTAAGACTAGCTTTCAGGTACCAGCAAGGTAGGTATAATAGTAAAAGAAAGTGCGTCAACCCTACTTGCCTGGCATTCAAGGCTGTTAATACTGGGGCTCCAACTGAACTGCTGTCTTCTACGCACCTTCCATACCCCACTTATTTCTTCTGTGCCTGGAATGTCTGCCTTCCCATCCGTACCTGATAAAATCTTATTCCTCTTATAAGGCCCTTTTCAAATATTAGCACTTTTGTAGTATCTAACTGGATTTCTTAACAAGATTTGATATCTCTGCTCACTAAATCCCATTATCACTTTCTGAACTTGCCACGTGGAATATACTACATTTTATTTTTATCATCTCTTTTTGGAATTTTAATTATATTTTTAAATATTTAATGTGAAAGATACTGGCCAGCAGTATCCATCTTGGCTGCGGATGGTCGTCGAAACATGCTAAAAACATACACAGAGATAACCAGGTCCTGTGGGGGAATAGGAACAGAAGGACCACTCCTCACGTGGGGAGCGCCTTTGGCCACCCTCTCTCTGATGGGGAGAGTGCCTCGTTCCCCCTCCGGAGAGACTTTTTATTGGTTTTGTTTGAATAAGAATTCAGGTAAAAGCTCATTACTCATTGCTAGGAAGTAAGGGTCAAACAATAGATAACAAGGAAATCTGAGGGCCTATTTTAGTCCTGTAAAACTTTAAGGAACAAACTTACTTCTTCCTTAGACCCTTATCATTCAACTGAGAGCATTCTAAACAAAGCAGGTTTCACAGGATTTTACATATTCTTTCTTAGGCCTGATCACCCGGGGAACCCGCCCTTTTCAGCACAGGGCTGTACCACCCTGTCATTGTTTCAGGCTTAGGTGGAGCAAGGGAAGTAAGGCAGCCAAGAGATACGGAGATTTTCTCACAGACGATGAGGACTCAGGCTATATCACAGCCGAGGAGCGAGGGTCCATTACCCCCTTTTGCTATAGCCCCCAAAGTCCTTTCTTGGGGGCTCCCACGTGTTTGTGCCTGTTTTAGGTCGTTCCCCCCTTGGGGAATCTTACCCGTCATTGGCTAACCGACCAAGCATTGGGGTTCAGTTATGAATGAAGCAGCAGAAGCAGTGTTCCTGCCAGGGAGATAAGCTTTTGTCTCCTAGCTGGCGTATGGTCCAAGGCCACTTCCTCAGCCTTAGCCTTGGCCGGGGTTACAGCTTCTGATACCAGGCAGGGCGGTCCCCAACAATTTAATTTATTTTTAGATAGAGGGGAAGGGAGAGGGAGAAGCATCAATGTGTGGTTGTCTCTTGCGCACCCCTCACTGGGAACCTGGCTCACAACCCAGGCATGTGCCCTGACTGGGAATCAAACTGGCAAACCTTTGGTTCGCAGACCAGCACTCAATCCACTGAGCCACACCAGCCAGGGCTATTTTAATTATATTTGAAAGATAGTTTCCTTCCTACTAGATTATACACTCCTGAAGAAGAGGGATCATGTCTTTTAGTTTCATGTGCTCAAAGCACAGCACAATGACTTATACAAAGGAGGTTTTAGGGGGATAATATGAGACTTATTGTGTAAGGCAGAAACAGATTTATGCAAAATTGTGAGTCATCTGTTTTGTACCAAATGCTTACTGGCATAAATTGACCCTTTCTCTGAAACTATAAGGGAGTATGATTATTGATTTTTCCAAATAACCTTTTGCTGCAGTAAGATTTTTCCGGAAACCTAAAACCCTGGCAGAAGAAAATGTCACTCAAGATTTCCTTTTTTCGGAATTGTGATTATTTGTCATGTTTTGTGCTATCTAGGAGTTAAAATTGGGATTAATGTCTCCACTCCAGTAAATTCTCCATTCAATTTTGGGCAGCAAATGCACAAGGAACAACAGCAGAATGGAAGACAATGCTCCAAGTATCTGAGTAGCTACCTGCTACCTTTGACAGACTGTGGTAAAACCTTAACCCAAGGGCGTGACTTAGAGTAGCTGAGCCCAGCCAGTGCTGCTGCCTGTGGGAGGCAGGGAGTGGAAATTGATAGCACTGCTAAGCTGGTGGCACGCAGTGAATGACCATGAGGAAAACGTGGCCCTCTCAATGTCTGGAGCTCTGAATAGCCATGCTTCTCTCTGGTTTGTGTGCACGTGTGGATGGCATGAGAGAGGTGAAGCATTTTTTTTTTTAAATTTATTGTTGCTCAATTACAGTTGTCCCCATTTTTCTCCTAAAGAACGGGTTTTGACAAAGGTTATATTTTAGCATGAGATGAGGATATGATCTCTTTCCTCCTCATCACAATTTAAATATTTTGAAAATTTATTTCACCTTATTCGTGGTCACTAAGCTAATTTATTTCTGTCTCTATGCAGGAGAAAGACATGTATGTAATGATGTATAGGTAATTCTTGATTATCTTTTCAACTGTTACATTGCAGCTTAATGCAGAATATATCTACACTGTCATTCTGAAGTGATAATTAGAAACATACCCTGATACTTTCAAATAACTGTGTAATCTTGTAATGTGTGACTCTTTTCTTGAAATCTTTAGGAAAGATTTTAGAGATTTTTGTCAATTTTAAAGAGATTTATATGTCATAATTCAATACATTCTGTTTGGGCTTTATTCTGTTTCACCACATTAAAAATATTAATGTGGAACTTTCAAGCTCATGAATCAGTTACTTTCAAATGAACGAAAAATGACATATCTCTTGGTTAGTGCAAACAGTAAATTAATTTCTTATTGTGCATTGTTTGATTAGTCTAGAATCTAACAAACATTCTGTAAGAAGCTACCAACAAAAATAGGAGAAACACATATATATCCAGTCACTCCCTCCCCTTTTTATTAGTGAAATTGTTTTACACATTTCAGTACCCTCTATATGAGGAAATGCAATAATTGAGTAAGAACAAATTAGCATATATTCATGTTACATATATCAAACTTTGTATATTTTCCCAGTAGCATGACAGCTTGTTACTACCTAGATAACCATCTTCTTTTATTCAGTCAATAAATATAAGTTGATCCCTGACTGGTGTGGCTAAGTGGGTTGGGGGTTATCCTGCAAACCGAAAGTTCGTCATTTGGATTCCCGCTCAGGGCACATGCCTGGGTTTTGGGGAAGGTCCTTGTTGGAGGAGTGCCAGAGGCAACTGTTGGATGTTTCTCTGCTTCTTTTCCTCCCTTCCTTCCCCTCTCTCTAAAGATAAATAAATAAAATCTTTAAAAAACATATAAGTTGAGGAGCAACGTGGGACCAGGGTTCTGCTGGATATTAGAGATATGATGAAGCACAGAGCATGACTCCTTAAACAAAACAAGTGATTTCGACTCACTAATACAGCTGAAGAAGACAGACACAGGAAAAGTCACTATAAGTGTTTTGAAGGAAAGGGGCAGAGTGCAGTAGAAGCTAAAGATCAATTATCCGGGCTGTGGCTCATCCCGATTTCTTGATTTTTCTTACATTTGAAAATTGAAGAGAGAGAAAGGAGGATAGAAACTACAGTAAATGATGGTATGCACGAATACATATCTTCCGGGAAGAACATTATTTGGTCAAAGAATTGAGGTTCGTTCTCTTCACTTCCCTGTAAGGTTTGCTTGTGTGTGTCTACAGTGGTGTTCATGACGCCCCCCATCCCAACCCATCCCATCTTATACCAAGATCCTGAAAGAAGAGAGGAGGGAGTGGTGTGGAAGAGACAACAATGTGGAGATGTAATGCATTCAGTTTTTCACCTTTCGAAGGACTAAGAATTTGGTGAGCTCCTTCTGAAGAATGGATAGAGGAAATAGCAGGTAAGAAAGCCTTGGCCTTCTGAGGAGCAGAGTTCAGGGTCTAATTCCTTTTGCCTTATCAGTCTCTGATCGAGAGCTGATAATATCAAACTAGTACAGAGCCAGGGAACTGGAGCGCCTAGGCTATTTTACACTGACCTGGAAAATGTCAGGATAAATTACGGAATTGGCGGGGGGTAGGGTAGCGGGGGAGTGAGGAGGAGAAGCTGGGTATGGTAGTCCTTTTAGAAGTCTCAATGCTTTGAGGATTTTGAGTTGTCCTCCCTCCCCCTCCCAGGTCCTCCTCTGAGTTGTCACCAATTCACTGAGAGGGATTGCTGGTGAATGGGACTGAAGGCCAGGGTAAGGAGTCAAGGACTAGGATCTTAAAATGAGACTGACAACTGCTCATGTCACAGTTTGAAAGATGTTGATGGTCCAGACCGTTGTGGGAAATAATCTCAGAGTGGCTGTTAACCGTGCCCAAAACTGAATAGGCAGCATCTATTTAGAAGATAGAATCCCGCTCTGCGGCTAATCCTTTAATTGGCCGGCACAGCGCAGGAGGCGACTGCGTGTGTGCCCGTGGCCAGCCCTAGCGCCGCAACCCGGTCTGACGGGCACGCATCCCGACCGCGCCTGGCGCTTCCCGCGAGCCCGCTGGGCGCGTGCGCGCACGGCCGAAACGCGTGCTGCTCGCGCGCGCCGCCTCCCCGGCGTCTCCGTTCTCCCGCCCCACGGCCGGTCTCGGGCGCCCCCTCCCTCCCTGCGCTCCCACAGCCCGAGCGCCGCTCAGCTGACCGGCGGGCGCCAGACGCCGGGCTCACGGCTCGCTGGCGCAGCTGCGGCGGGCGTGAGCCTCTTCCGCCGACACTCCCCCTCCGCGCCCTTCCCCCACCGGGACCTGGAGCCGGACTGACCCGGAGCGAGCTCGCGGCCGCTTCCCCGGCGCCGCGCGAGGAGCGAGGCTGCGGTGACGAGCGGCGGCAGTACGGCCATGGGCGCGCCGGTGTCGCCCTAGGACGGGCGCGCGGAGACCGCAGCCTGAGCGGCAGCCGCGGCACTGAGCCTTCCCGGGCGGCGGCGGCGGCAGCGGCAGGAGCAGCGGAGCCGGGATGAGCGGGAGCGGCGCGGCCCCCGGCCCGGGCTCGGGCTCCTCCCAGGCCGCCTGCCGCTTCGCGCACTACTTCGTGCTGTGCGGGATCGACGCGGACAGCGGGCTGGAGCCCGACGAGCTGGCTGGTAAGGCCGGGCTGCGGCGGCGCGGGGGTCCCCGCGGGGACGCGCGGGAGGCGGGGTGCAGGCTCCAGACAAAGTCAGCTCTCGGTGGCGCCCGCTCCTCGGCCGGATCGGCGCTAGGGCGCCTATTTAATGACATTGTTATTTATTCCTCGTGCTGGGTGCGCTTCCAAGCCGCGGATGCCGCGCCGTGCAGGACGCCCGCCGGGGGCTTTGCCTCCAGGCTCAGTGTTGTTAATAATGGGCGCGGGGGCAGGGACAGAAGTGGCCCTGAGGGCATGGCCCTGACCGGCACAGCAGCCCCTTTCCCGGTAGCTGCAGGGGGAGGCGGCTAGTGAGTCACTGGGCACGCTAACTCCTGGGCCTTGCTGCGACCCCGCGTATCCCACCCCCCACCCACCCTCAGCGCACCGGCCGCGAAGTTTCAGCCCCGGCACGTGACGCGACGCTCTGGTCCTCTTGGGGGAGGGGGCGTCGGAGACCGCCTGGCTGTGGGGGGAGCGCGGGGCGGAACGCTAGTCGGACTTCATCCCTGGCAGTTCCTAGCTTCTGCGATGATAGTCGAGTCGCCTTTTGGAATCCTATCGATTTGGCAGTGTCACGGAGCTAGCGAGGACCTTTGAACGCCTGGGACCGGCACCACACTTTGTTGATACTGTCTACTGTTCCCGAGTTTTAGTAGTTGGATATTTTCCTCTGTGTTGGGCGCTCCGTGTGTCACTGCCTGGGTTTTCCTGGAGGGGCTCTGGTCACTCATCTGGATTCATTTGATGGCGCAGTGCAGGGCTGAGCTGGGGAACCGACGCTAGGAAAAGGGACGTTAAAGGATTTGGGGGACTGGGGGGCGATTGCGCAGTGTTGAGGCAGAAACAACTGATTCATTTTCACGCCTGTTTCTTTCTGCTTGCCTTCTTGAATCTGAATCTTGATTTTTTTTTTTATGGATGAGACAAGTGACATCTACCGCCCGAACTTTATCTGTGTCAGTGTTAAACACTTAGGTCATAGCCTTTCAGAACAGCTTCCTTTGGACAGAGCATTCCTTACTGATTGCACCAATGTGTGTGTTTTGTTTTTTTTTTCCTTTTGGTTGGGTGGTTGGGGGCTGGGAATAATATATTAAGTAATAAAAAATAGTAAGCAAAACTGTTCAGCCTGAAGATATGGTACCCATCAACCCACGCCTTAGATGAGTATCTTTTCATTTAAGTCAGTTTCACAGCAAAACATTTCCACAAAAACTCTTTAAGTGTAGTATCAATTAATTTTTTTTGAAAAAGGATGAGTTGAGTACCCATTTTTCTGTATGTATAATTTTGTATCGTGTTTCTTCAACCTCGATTTCACTTACCTGTTAAGAAGGCCTTTGTTAAGGGATGTAAAGTTAGGAAAACAAATGTCTGCAGAGGCATTTGGAGAGATTCCTCTTTGGGGACTGTTAAAAGGATTATTTTATTTTCTAAAATCACTTTTCCCCTAAACATCCTAAACATTTGTGGCACCAGGTCCCTTGGAGGTCTTCTGTCAGTGGTGACTGATGAGAGGAAAAGCCTGTATTTTTTTTCCTCCCCCTTCATTTCAGGTCTATATTCCTAGTAAAGCTAAAACAAAAACCTGTAGGTATGGCTTGGGACTCCTTAGGCATAGTCCTAAGGCTTCAACAAAATTAAACAGTAAAGAATGAATTTAAATGCCTTTTTTAGGGCATGAACTGACTTTTCTGTGGGCAATACTATGTGTGAGTGTGGGCGATTGAGATTTCTGTTCCTCATAATACTTGGTGTTTTGAAGTAACAATTTTGCCTGGTAATATTTCAGTATCAACAAATAGTTGAATGAAAGGTTTCTGAAAGCCTTTAGGTGCTGATTTTTTTTTCTAGGTGTGTTCTAGGCACTGGGGACAGCTGTGAACAAAGCAGTCAAGAATCCCTGCCATTTTAGTGTTGACATTCTCGTGTAACCAAATAATGAAAATATGTGGTTTGCCAGATGTTAATGCTTGCTATGAGGAAAAATAAAGCAGGGAAATGAGACTAGGCCAGGTGCCAACAGAATAGGGGGGAGGTGGTTGGTTGCAATTTAAAATAAGATGGTAGGGAAGGCCTTGGGGATAAGTTGGCATTTGAACAGAGCTCTGAAGGATTTAAGGCAGCAAGCCACATGGACTGTCTTGGGGAACAGTGTTACAGGCAGAGTAAGAAGCACCTGCAAAGACCTGAGTTGCGATAGTGCCTAGTTTATGCAGGCAACAGCAAGGATGCCAGTGTGGTTGGAGCTGAGTGAGGGGGTTGGATAGTAGTGGATACGACCACAGAGAAAGAGTGGGAGAGATTGTGTAGGGCATCATAGACAATTCTTAGGGAAACCCCTGGAAGGTTTTGAGTAGTGTCATGAGATCTCAGTGTAAAAGGACCTCTGTGGCTTCTGTGTTGATTAGACTGTGTCAGGGGCAAGGATAGAGACAGACCAGGTAGGAGGCTCTTTTTCACTATTTGAGGTGAGAGGTGTTGATGGCTTGGAACAAGGCAGTAGCAATGAAATGGTGGTGAGCTGGGTATATTTTGAAGGTAGAGCCAGCAGGACTTGCTGATGAGCTGGGTATTGTGTTCATATTAAAAGAAAGTAATCAAAGATGACTCCAAGAGTTTCAGCCTAAATTATAAGCATCTCTATTTACAGAAATAGGAAGACAGATGGAGAAGCAGGCTAGGGAAGATTAGTTCAGTTTTGGACATATTAATTTGAGGTGCCCATTAGACATTTAGATGGAGATATCTGGTAGGCAGGACTTCTTACATGGGGTCTCAATTTTTGTTTAGTTGTAAGTCGAAAGTCATGAAATTGGGTAATATCACCCAGGGAATCAGTGTAGATAGACAGTAAAGAGAACAGGTTCAAGGATTCAGTCCTGGAGACATTCCAACATTCAGAGGTAGGGAGGATGAAGAGGAGACATTACTAAGGAGATTAACAAGTGTGGCCACCTGCCCTGGCTGAGTAGCTCAGTTGGTTAGAACATTGTCCCTATATACCAAGGTTGTAGGTTTTATCCTGGGTCAGGACACATATAAGAAGCAACCAGGGAATGCATAAATAAGTGGAACAGCAAATCAACATATGTCTGCTGTCCATCTCTTAGCTCCTGTCTGACCTTCTCCCCCACCCCCATTCTTCTTTCTCTCTCTAAAATCAATTAAGGACAAAAAAGTGTGGCCAGTGAGATGAGAGGAAAACAGGAGGACGTAGTATCATGTTCCCCATCAGCAATTTTTTGACTGTTCCACAGAGCTACATGTGGGGATGAAGAAAGAAGGCTAGTGAGGTAGACAAATTAGTCAGAAGGTTGTTTCTGTTTTGCTGCATTAATTTCAAAGGTAATGGCAGTTTCTATTTTACTTCTCTGGAACGGACCTATTTTTATCATACTGTATCTTAGCAAGTTGTCACCCTGCCTATAGAAGGTCTTAATTGACTGTTATCAAACAAATTCTACCAGTTGCTTTGTGGGCTTTTTCTTAATGTATGCATGTTCCTAGAATTTATACTCTGCAAGTGGTGGGACACTGAAATAAAATTAAGGACACAAACCATATGATGAAGTAATAAATAGACTAAGACCTTATGTTAAAGTTATCAGGACTTTAAGTTGTTATTCAGACATTACTCACAATAAAGCCCAGCATTACCAACAATGGAAAAGATTTCTTTCATCTCAAATAGATCTTTTAACAGCTAACAATAATTTGAATATGTAAGTAAAAATATTTTTTTATGGAGGACCTAGGAATTACTGGGAGAGACCCACAATAGACACATGTGTGTATGCATGTGTGTACACATACAGATACACTGGTGCTACCCATTGTTGTTTCTCTGGCACATCTTAGCTGTTGTGCTTCTTTTATTCATGGTATATTTTCAAGATACACTTAACCATAAACAAAAATGTCCTTTAAATGTTGATGCAGACATGTTTAAATTTCCTTAAAATGTTAAAGATACAAAAAAGTTTCAAACTGATTCTTTATTGCATAAAAAAGAGGAATAAATAGAAGTAAGTGGCTGGAATTAGTTGACGTGAAGGAAGGCAGACATCATTTTGAAATTTTCTTTTATGGCTCATTTCCTCCAAGGCCTAACTATAGGAATTTATGTGGCTTGATGTACAGCAAATCTTTTAGGCAATGGAAAAATGAAGGACATAAGTAGACCTTTAAGTAATATAAATATGCCGATCCCCATGAGGGGATTTGTCTTTGTCTGTCACAGTGTCTTATACCTAGCGTTTAATAAAGTGAATGAATGTAAAGTTTACATATGAGTCAACAAATTGTGTTGTGACCAGGAAATTCTTAAAGCATTCCCTTGGGAGTCTGGATTTGGCCTTAATAATACGAGTCGGATGGGTGGGATTCCTGCCACAGGCTTTTGTTTAGTTCTCTTCCTTGGTGCCTCTAGCTATTTATTTTTAGCTTTGGTTATCTTGGGTGTGGTTTCCAGAATTGCTCAGAGGCAGTGGAGACCAGGGTCTAAATTCAGATACAAAATTTGAGACTGACAGTATCATCATGCATGGAAGAAAGCAAGGCTGAGAGGGTAAGGACCCTCTCAGCTCATTGACTAGCAGCAGGCACTAGACTAGAGTCTGGGTTGTTCTAGTACACTAGGCTTTATAGGTGTTTTTTTTCCTCCAATTTTTATTGATTTTAGAGAGAGAGAAGTGGTGGGGGGAGACAGAGAGAGAAACATCAGTTGGTTGTACCAGTTATTTATGCACTCTTTGGTTGCTTCTTGTATATACCCTGACTAGAGACCAAACGCCACAACCTTGGCTTAATCAGGACAGCATTTTACCCATGTGATCTATCCGGCCAGGGCCATAGTTATTTTATTTCAGCTCAGGAAAAAGATGAGTTTGACTTGAGTTCAGCAAGCATTTCAGGCTTACTCTTGTTCCAGACTGAGTGTCATGGTCAAGACTTGTTTTTTAAAAGTAATGGCCA